TACGAGTGGCCCGACAATAGCAATGTTGAGGGGAGGCATAAATAGAGGGAACTGTATGTCTGTAATGATGGTCTGACTGCAGTACGACTAGAGGTGGGAATGACACGAAATGCATGATAAATGCTATGATTATTTGCAAATTGAAAGCAATTAAAGTTTTGCAAATGAAAGGCAATATAGTTAGCGATGACAGTAGACATTGGATGAGTGGTTGGGTCGGGTGTGTGTGGACGGGGAGGTGTGTGGGGGTAGGGGTGGGTGTGTGTGGTAGTGGTGGTTGTGGTGTCTATAATATATAGCAACTACTGTAACATGAATACAGAGCTACAGTGAGCTATACAGTGAAGTGTTGTAGTGTTGTATAGTGTAGTGAATGTACGGTCAGTGTGTTTGTATTGAGTGTAGGATTGAGTGAATGAATGTATGCTTGCATTGACTGTGCATTGAGTTTGCATTGAGTGTTGCTTTCGTATGCATTAGTGTTTGTAATAACAGTAACACTCATAGAGTATCAGTCATTGTAATCATAATTAATGTGATTTGGTTTGTGTTTAATTAAACGGATTTTGCATTCATTTGTATAAACCGTGAAATCATTGAAATCTCATTTCATTTGCTAATTATATACTGAAAGTGGTGGCGAAATACAAGTCATTTGATATATTTATTGTGATTATTGTGTCAATTAATAGGAAATAATCGACAAAATGGTATAAAATTATATTTCACTCAATGTTTACTACTTTTCCTCAACTGATCCTCAAATGCATTGAATTTGTTGTCAATTAGGGAAACGAGGCGTCGCTTCCGATGGAGATGTGCTCTAACTGTGAGTCCATTTTGAGATAGTCTTAAGACTATTGTGGAGACATTGTCTCATTGCATGTGTGGTTGTGGTTGCAGTCGATGCCGACGAGATCAAGCGGTTGGGGAAGCGGTTCCGCAAACTAGACCTCGACAACAGTGGCTCCCTTTCCGTCGATGAGTTCATGTCTTTACCAGAGCTGCAACAGAACCCTCTGGTCCAGCGTGTGATCGACA